TGTTCAGTCGTGTATACTACAAACTCTAACAAACATCCATCCAAAAATTTCGCATTTATAATTAGTAAGAAGTATAGGGTAGATAGGGAAATAACGTTTTTTATGCTTTAACTTACTCAGTGGGTTTTAATTGATCAAGTTTGACATCAGGGAAGTCGTATTGTTCATGCGAGTGGTATCTCACGGCGCACTGTCCGCTGAGATGGCACACGCCGGCCGCTGTCAGGTCCTTCTTCACACCCGCGACTATATTCTCGTAGTATTTGAACACCAGCATTGAACAGGAGTCCGATAAAGAACCCATATGGCCGCACATCTGTTAACAAAATATTATTATAAACTGTTCCCGTAACATAAAAAAATTTACAATACTAAAATAAAAAAAAATCATTGGAGTACTTAAATGACAATAAAGTTTGTTTCCATTGGCTAACAGTTACCGTTACGCAATCTAGTTTATTTGCTGGTTTAAGATTGCAATTTTTGTCCCTTTCTCGCGTGTTTTTATTTTCAAATTATTGAACCCTTCAATTTATTTAATGCGTGGGTACATCTATATATACATAACATGACGTAATTGTATGGATTATTATGAAAAAAACACATTATTAAAGAATATGCTATTTCTGACATCCTACATAACAAAGTAATGTGTGTTTACGCTTTAATAAATTAATATAGATATAATGGGAAAGTAAATTTAAAAAAGCATTTCTTACAAAATAACAGCATTAAATATAAGTGCCTGGGACCAAACTGTTGTACAATTAGACCCCTTTTTTTAGACATTATTTTTTTTGTAAATAAATGAAGTTTTAGTTAATTACCTTAAGTAATCCAACGAGGAAGTCTTCATACGAGGTATCATCAAACCTCTTCCTCAGCACGCCGACTGCGGTGCGGCAATTGTTACACTCCTTGTGCTGTTCTAACTTCTTGTTCTATAAACATAAAAATATTAACAAATTAACTTTTGCCCGTGATTCCGTCCGCGTTAAAAGAAAGCAAGTAGCCTATGTGTACTTCCAGAGTGTAGTTTTCATCTATGCCAAATTTCATTGTGATTTGTTTAGGCTGCAAACTAACATCCATCCATCCATTCAAACTTTTACATTTATAATATTAGTAAAGAGTAAGATTATATATATGACTAGCTGTTGCTCGAGGCTTCGTCCGCGTGAAATTAAAATAAATAGCCTATGTCACTCATTGATAACGTAGCATTTTAATGGTGAAAGAATTGTTGAAATCGGCCTAGTAGTTTTTGAGTTACTTCAATACATACAATTTCTTATTTTTTTATTTACTCAGACGAAGTCGCGAGCAACAGCTAGTAAAATAAAATAAAAATAAATAAAACTGGTATAGAACAACTAACGTAGTCTTCCAGCATGAGGTCTATCCTGGCGCTGTTGCAGAGTCCAGCGACCGAGCAGACCGACTGCGGGTTCATCTCCGAGGCCAGCGTCTCCACCAGCTCCGGCACGAAGTCGTCCGCCAGCACT